GTGAATTTAGGGTAGCATGATAAAAAAAAAGACCTAGATCTTTAGTCAAACAGTGGGTTTCCTTGCATCAACTGCCCATTTCAAATTCCCCCACAACATTTCAATGGGATTCAAATCAGGGTTTTGACTGAGCCAGTCCATGATCCTTAATTTTCCACGTCTATTTAAATTTAAAGCCTTATACAGATCCCCTCGCATTGTTATCAAACACACTTATATCATGCAGAATCCATACTTGACTCAATGGGGTTGATTTACTAAAGGCAGATAGGCTGTTCACATTGCAAGGGAATTTGAACTTTGCAGAGGATGTTTTCCTTAGCTTGGTGAATGTGGTGAAATTTCACTTTGCAAAGAATTCCTAGTTATGTGCAAGGAAATAAGGTCCTTCTCCTGAAGTGCTCTCTCTATGCTAAATATGTCTACTATCACTGTGGCCAAACAACACAATCTTTGATTAATTGGTCCACAGCTCATTGTGCCAGATGGCCTGGTCTTAGCCTATATGTTCAATGGCAAACTGAAGTTTTGCTCAAATGCTCTTTTTGGACAGCAAAGGCTTTTTTCTTGCACACCTCCAATGCAGATTAAATTGGTGCAAGCCCCCTATGATTGTAGATGCATGCACTTTTGCAATAATTTTGTTTTTTTAATCCTTTGACAGACTCAAAGGCATCCACACCTTTCTATCTGAGGGCCTTAGAGAACTATTCAAACTTTGGTATGACAAAACCACACACGTCAAAAGCAGAGAGAACACCAGCCCCTAGATATCTGAGGTTTAAAAAAGACAGGCCCCACCTGCATACTCTCTAAGGAGGTCCTAATCATTGGCAACTAATCTGGAACACTTGATTCTAGTTTCATGGTTTCAAGGTGGTAGTAAATGTGTAAGGTGTACTGAGTTTTTCCTTATCCGCATCAAATCTGTATTTTTGTTCATTTAGATTATGAAAATACTCCATGTAGTTGTATGTGTCATTTGTTTACGTATGTCACCTTTAATTGTGGGCATAAGTTGAATAAAGATCTAATGTTTGCCTGTTCAAATATGTTACAAAGTCAACAATTTCCATGTAGTGTACATTCTTTTTTACATGACTGCACAATGTAATATCCTACCACAGTCACATAGGCATTTTAGGGCTTAAGGGAAGCTGGTTAAAAGAGATGTAAAGCCAAACCTTTTTTTGGCTTTACTTTTCTTTTTGGTCACAGGGATACTGACTGAAAGTCACTGACAGTCACTGCTCTCTGCAGTGAGAAGACCGTACGCCAAGCTATCATCGGTCCCATAATCGCTCAGCTCTCAGTATACAGAGTCAGCGTGTGACAGCTGCAGTGTCCCACACCATCAATAAGCATTGGGAAGAATATATTTTACTCTCCCAATACTGCTCATTCAACCTTCCAGTTTTGGGTTGTGGTAGGAAATTTAAGCACCTAAAGAAAATCTACACAAACAAGATGAGAATGATTAAACTCCATGGAGACTGTAGAATCGGTAATGTTTTGGGCCTGGGACCCCCTCCTCTAAGGTATGAGTTCTCAGCTCTTGGTACCACGCTACCTATAAACATCTGGAGCTGACAGAATCTGGACTAGCCTCCCTCTTCAGTTTGCTCAGGTAAGATTTGAAAATGAGGCAGAGAAGCTGATTGGTTGCTCCAGCTTTTTTTTCTGCTCCAGTTTTGATAAATTCCCCCCACAGTAAGTTAATGTTGTAGGATACTAGTGTTGCTTATAACAGGATAAATAGCATAGCACTTAGATAACCACCATAGAATATTAAATGAGTTTCTCTGTAAGGGTATAACAGCTAGGTTACTTAGGGGGTTATTCACTAAGCTGCTGAAGGCAGCTAAGGGGTCTATTCACGAAGCTGCCGAAGGATCTGGCCGTAGTTTCGGCCGATCCTTCAGCTAGCTTTGGCCCCAGGACCCCTTCGGTTCAGTAGAACCGAGGGGGTGCTGTACGGGCTATTCACAATAGCCCGTACAGCTCCCGCTCATTGCCGAGCGGCTTGGTCGAGCCGATCGCATATGCATCGGC